TCCATTGTGGTGGTGTATAGAGCCAAATATGTTAGAATTGTGTCGATGTCCCAATATTTCTGGACCTGACTGTATATTTGCTCAAAGGGGACTCCTGGTGATTTACAAAATATGAAAACAGAGGTGATGTCAAAAGGTATCACGTGAACTGCTTTATGGAAATCCGCTAGGGAGGGTGCCAGGAGTACTGCAGGGTCATGGGGTCCCATAGCACGGGTGCCATTGCAAAGAATTGCCTCTGGGTCCATATCTTGTCGATTTCCACTATGGACAGGACCTCCTTCAGTGTGTGTTTAGAAGCTCCAATCGCAGTGCAATAAACCATTCAAGCGATTAACCAGATATGTCTCCTGGGGTTCCTTCTAGACCATTTGATGCCAAGAACCCCTTTTTGGCCCCAGTTGCTGTGAACCGGAAGCTCAACCAAGGTGGAGAGCGACACCTAATGCATCTTGAACTGGACATTACTGGGTCCAAAATCAGGTAAATGGGAATTTTGGAGGTTCTAGAATCAATGCAGCTGCAGGGCACTGGATTGGAGAAACTTGCTTTTAAACACATGTCTGATGACTGTGTTGACAAAAGAGTTAGAGGCTGCGTTTGTACAATGTGCTAACCTTGATTATGAATAACCTAAATTAATTAATTAATTGTGTGTGTGTATGGATTAGCATGTTGTATTAACTAGCACACTTGATTAATTGTTCATTGTATTGCACAAACCCCAAATAGAGGTAGACCTTGCTTAATGACTGTCCTGTTTAGCAACTGTTTTAAGTTATGACAGTGCTGTAAAAGTAACTTTAACACCGGTCCTCATATTTATGACTGTTGCAGCATCCCTGCAGTCACATGATTGACATTCGGGCACTTCGCAGCCAGCAGGCATTTATGACTGTTGCAGTGTCCTGTAATCACGCAATCGCCATTTGCGCGCTTCACAGCCGGCTTCCGACAAGCAGAGTTAATGGAGAAGCTGGTAGTAAAATCGCAAGTTGCGGTCATGTGATGTCTCGCTTAACAACTGCGTCGTTTAGCAAAGGATTTGCTGGTCTCAATTGTGGTTGTTAAGCAAGGACTACCTGTATGGATAAATTCAATAACCAGCTTAAGCACATTGTGTGAACGCAGCCCTTAAATCCACATCAAAGGGATTTGCCTCCTTGTGCTTTAAAAGGGTCTGACTCCCAATGTAATAGAGATGAAATGCTTTCCCTAACTTTAGGAATATTGAATTCCCAGGCATTGTGGGGACCCTTAGGAAAGGCTGTGGTGGGCTTCAGTGATGTGGTTCAGACGTTAGACTAAGCCATAAATAATGTGGTTTGGTTCGTTTTGGCATAGCGTGTTGTGTAGACCCAGCCAGAGGTGGTTTATTCATCAGACCATAGTTAAACCATGCCTTACATGACGTACGAACTTAACCTCTCAATTTCTTTCCCAGGTATGAAGCTGGAGACCATATTGCTGTATATCCAGCCAATGACACTTCACTGGTGAACCGGCTTGGTGAAATACTGAGTGCTGATTTGGATACAGTGATCTCCTTAAACAATTTAGATGGTGAGCGTATAAATAAAGCTGCTCTCTTGCATAAGTGATAGGCTTTTTTATTTTGAAAACTGATGGTGCAAAATGTTTCTCCGTTTTATCAGATATTTTGAACAACCATTCCCATTCTTCTTTACCATACAAACTGTGGCTGATGGGACTTGCTGTCCCTAATAACTGGAGGGCATTAGATGTCTTCCCTCTGTTTTACAGAATGAGCCCCCAGCAGAGATGCATATAGCTAAGGGCGGTCCTTCGCTTTTCACAGACAGTTCTCATCCTTTGATAGTTGCTGCAGCAAAAAAAATCACACCAGAATAATTTCCATTATGTGTCACAGCAGCTGTTTGAAGCTGGAATTCACTTCTGGCAGAACTAGTTTCCACACCTGATTTCAGGGGCGTTTACATCCAGCTGATCAATCCAGTTGCTCAATTAAGACATTCTGCAGTCGTCTTCTGCCCTTTTTATGAACCTGAGACTCTGGGACCTTTGAAGTGTGGGGACCTGCCACCCTTACTAAGCCTGTTGAGAATTTGTATTAGCTATGGGGGCAACTGTGGAATATGAATCATGCTTCACTTGCATTTGGGGGGACACTGAATGAGTCTTCCAGCTGAACCTTCAATAGGTTCTGGGCTCAGCAGTGGGCAGCGTGTCAGCGTTGCTGCTGCTCGGGCACTTAACAAAGCCGTTGCTGTTGTGTCTTTGTTACGGTGTGGATGGCGAGGGAGGTGGTAAACACTGATTGAATTGAGGGCTCCTTCTTTGTGTCATATTTCAGCTTAGTGAACTGTTTGTTCTCCTGCATTGTTTGCTCTTATGCAATTATTTCTCAGATTTCAAGTGTGCTGGTCCCTTTCACATGAGATCTTTCTTTCCCCTTGCAATGTGACCTTATTTCGCATGAACATTGGAAATTGGATGCTTTAATGAAATCATTTCATCCTGTTTCTATCAATCTGACCAACCTGCGTTGTTCAGTGGGGCACATGATTCTGGTCTCCATAACTACCAAAGCAATAGAACAACATTGGTGCAGCGAAACCTGCAGGTTGACTGTAGGGTTGAGAATTGGGTAGGATAACCTTCCCAGTACAAATGCTATTCAGACATATGGACTTCAATTCCCATAGTTCTTAGCTGGGGTCATGCTATGTTGGGGAAGGCTGGGATAGGACTTTGGGTTCCTGTTAGAAACCTGATGTTTAGTCTTTGCATCTCTGTGGAGGAACCTCAGTTTGTTAGCCATTGGTTATCACTATGAGAGCTGTGGTTGATCTTACACTTTTGGTCTCAGTTGCAATCCTTTATGGAGATCAGAATTGCTGTGTGGACTCTTTATGCAAGATTCAGAGGCGTATATTTGGATTTCTGAACTCTTCCTCTCTCCTCTGCAGAGGAATCCAACAAGAAGCACCCATTCCCTTGCCCAACTTCATACCGCACAGCTTTGACCTACTATTTGGACATCACTAACCCACCACGCACCAATGTTCTCTATGAGTTGGCACAATATGCTACAGATGCCAGTGAGCAAGAAAAACTGCGCAAGATGGCTTCTTCCTCTCCTGAAGGCAAGGTGGGTACTGATCTACTTTTGCTGCTCTCCCTAATATTATTAAAATGACATCCATGATTAGAGCCACCAGATCTGAGCTGCAGCAATCCAGGTCACCACTAGGTGGTGGCAGAGACAAAGGCAAAAACTCTGTATGCTGCCATTTGGTGGTCCTCTGTATTTTTGCAGCCCAGCTTGGCAAAATCTACCATTGATCTTTTGAAGATCTTTTGAAGGAGGTCTTGTTGGAATTGGTGGACACGGGATTTCCAATTTTCTTTGACTCAGACAAGCAAAATACCACAGAAGCTGTTTTCAGTAGAGAAATGCCAGATGGGAAGATAGACATGCTCAGCCCATATCTATCTCATTTAAAGTTTCCCAGCATGTTCTACTGGTAAGGCAGAAATGTAATAGGGATGGGCAGCATCTGGGTTGTCAGGATTGCTGTTTTAGCCCATTGGAAAACCCCACCCTGCTTTACCACTCAAAAGTTAGAAAGCAGGAGTGGGAATCCCCAGGTAGTGGTGCTTACACATCAGATTTGGCAGGATAGGAAATAGCCAGTTGGCTTCTGCTAAGTCAGCCCATGCAGCTTTTCTTCCCCAGTTAACTTAGAGCACCCTTCTGTTATTTGACATTCTCCAAATATACTGGATACAACTGTTATTGCACCAAGTCAGTTTGGGGCATTCAAACTAGGGTTGATGGAAGTTGTAGCCCAAAGCCTCTCCTGAGGATATCAAACAAGGAAAGACAATAATTCTGGATTCAGAACCTCCGTATCTATCCTAAAGTGCTCAAGATCTTTGCCTGGAGAACTGGGATGCCCATCCTTAGGCCCCAGGGTGGCATGTGACCTTGGGAGTGTCCCCTTATAAAAGTTGCCACTGAACTGTAAATTTTAATCTGGCAGAAGGAGAATAGTTATTAAACGCATAAGGAGTAGTGCTGTTACCGATCTGGATTTTAAATTAAATTGAGTGTAGTTTTTATCTTTTCCTGGCCCTGTCTGCTTTTGGGAAAATGGCCTCCATTATGGCATGAGTGTGCTGAACCTCAAAGGTTGAACATTTCTGTAGAAGTGAGATCACTGAGTTTAGCGTCCTCCACTCTGCTTGATGGTGGTTCTCCATGGTCTCCGTTCCATGGATCTTTTAACTAGAAATATCAGGGATTCAGAAGCTGAATTATTTGGTTTCAAGGCAGGTGCTCTTCCACAGAGCAGTGGACTTCCAGAGTGAGAACTAGCTTCAGATTAGAAGCTCATTAAGAATCCTGAGAAAAATAAGGACTTAGATCAGCCTCCTTCCAACAGGATAAACAAGTTCCATCATTTTCAGATAGCACAGCCAGGTTGGGAAAGTCTGCTTTAGGTCATCCAAGGCCTGGTGAGAAAGGATTGTCATATTCAGATCAATCATTACCCACACATGGCCAGGTGTTTGCTGTGTGGAGTAGAACAGTGACCAAATACTTCTGCTCTTCTCCTGTCATCAGTAATAGAAATTCTTATGCCTCTCTTTAAGGCTTTCCTAAAAGCATCTGGCCGCCCACCTGGTTGATTGTGGTGACAAACAGGATCCTAAGCTAGGTAGATCTTCAGTCCAAACTCACTGGCTTCGCTTTGCGTTCTCATTGACTGCAAACCTTCTTTGATTTGTCTAGAACTGACGTTTTTGAAAATAAGTTCACATTGATCTCTTTCTCCCCTAACATAAATGTTTGCTTGATCCAGACTTTGTACCTCAGCTGGGTTGTTGAGGCCCGGAGGAATATCCTGGCTATCCTGGAGGACACACCTTCTCTGCGGCCTCCTATTGACCACCTTTGTGAACTGCTTCCCCGTCTTCAAGCTCGCTATTACTCCATCGCTTCTACATCCAAGGTGAGCACCACTGGGAAGGCATACCAAGAGCTCTCCTGGTTCACAGCCCAATGTATTTTTTCCCTTATTTTTTTACTACAATACGTGCACTTTAGTTCTTCTGTCCACCCAATCCTTGTCCTTATGCTTTTGCCCCAGTCAGAAATGATCTTTCACTTCCTCTATGCTATTTGCAATGACTATTTGGTGTTTCATGTGAGCCTTCCCCCCTCACTGCAGCAACAATGAGAACTCTCTGCTGCAATGCCACAGCCTGGATAGATGTTGACGGGAAGTTTAAAGATGTCAGGAGCTGGGCTATAGCTCTTACAAATGCTTTGTTAGAAGGAAATGATTTGTAAAAAGAAGGGTGTTAAATGATTTCACTAATTGCAAGGAAAGACATAACGAGGCATGGAAGATGCTGATGCCCCTGGCCCCTCGTAATCTTTTTCACCAAATCTGTAATGCAGGAAGATTCTTTTAATTTTATCCCATGTTAATCTCACCAAAAGGAGTAATGGTCCTGCTTTGTTTCACACTAGGTCAGACCTGGACAGGAGTCCTGTGTCAAGTTCTGAGCACTACAGAAAATTGAGACAGCCTAAAATGGGTTCAAACGTCTTCATGAGATGGGCGGTATCTAAATTTGAAATATGAATAAATAAAGGCAACAAAGGTGGTCAGGGGCATGGAAAGCAGATGCAGAGGGAAGAAAAGTCATGGAAATGCCCTTCAAAACCCAAAGAATTGCCATATGTAAGAAGGCAAATATTTGTTCCCTACTTCCCTGAAAGGGAGATCTAGATTTCAGGATCTTCATATATAGGAAGATTGATGTCAGCTGAATATTAGAAGCCTTCTTCTAATATTCAGTTTCCAGTAAGAACAGTCTGAAAATTGGAACCAATTAAGAACAGATCGTCATGGAGAAAATCTATGTATGCGGCTGCTAAGAATTGATACCAACTTGATGGTTCATAATCAGACAATCAATCTGAAAAGTTGAGGACTATATACTTCCTCTTTAGAGGTCTTCAAGCAGAGACAGGACAACTCTCTGGATGGGTTGTAATTCTGGATTTCCTACATCAAGCAAGGGTTTGGACTGGATGGCCTACAAGGCTGCCGATCTCTCTTGTTCCTTTCGGGCATCTGAGAATCCACCAAGACGTTGCATAAATATTGAGTGTCTTTTCACAGTCACCTGTGAAATCTAGAAATTTGAAAATTTAACCTCAGTATCTTTCACTGTTGAAGTTGGAATCCAGTCCTTACTTCTGTGCTTCTCTACCTCCCTGCACTCCAAGGAAACCCAGATCTCAGTTCTTGTCTGAACATTTGTTTTAACCTTGGTTAGGCTTTATGTAGCTATGTCAGCGTGTTATGTGCCCTCAGCTCATTTGTTTAGTTTATGATTCAGTGTGAACCCTGGACAGAGATTAATTGTGTCACCAAGCGAAGTGTGTGGTATAAATGCAGTCTGGGACACCACTGTTGTCTCTCAAAGCTCCTGATGGCTCTCTCTTGCATTCCACCCCCTCTCCAGGTACACACAAACTCCATCCATATCTGTGCCGTTGTTGTGGAGTATACTACCAAGACAGACCGAGTGAACAAAGGGGTGGCTACTAATTGGCTGAAGAACAAGCAGCCCAATGAGAATGGGCACAAATCTACGGTGCCCTTGTACGTCCGGAAATCCCAATTCCGGCTGCCCTTCAAACCTAACACTCCTGTCATCATGATTGGGCCTGGCACAGGGATCGCTCCCTTCATTGGTTTCATCCAGGAGCGGGGCTGGCTCAAAGAGCAAGGTGAGTGCTGAGCTCAGATTGGCCCTGCAAGCAACAAGGGCCCCCAGGTTAAGTTGTTTGGGAAGCAAGCCAGGGGAAACCACGGATTGTCTGCTGTGGTGGTGAAATGGAGCATCCACTGGCAGAGGCAGTATGCTGGTTATTTTAGTTATTGATTCCTCTTCTGCCTTTTCTCTGAGAGCTCAAGGCAGCTTACATGAGGGTCTTGTCTCGCTGTCATCCAAACAACCACCCTGTGAAGCAGGTTGGGCTGATAGGGCCCAGAGCCATACCCGGTGAGCCCTGTGGCTGAGTGGAGACTTGAATTAGAGCCTCCCTGCACCAAATCCAGCACCCAGATCACTTCACTACACTGGCCCTAAATATGTATGCGCAATTGCTTTTGTGCCTTGCTCTAAGGCCTCCCTAAAAACAACTGGCTGACAGCTGGCTGATTGTGGTGAGAAACAGGATCCTCAACTAAAGCTTCAGCCCATTCTTGCTGGTATCACCTTGTGTTCTTGCTGAGTGTACATTGTCATCGTCATCATCGTCATCATCATCATCATCATCGTCATCGTCATCGTCATCGTCATCTTAAATTTGTTATGGCCAGCAACTCCAGCAGACTCTCGGCGGCTTACAAAATCCATCTTTGATTTCTCCATAACTGACTTTTTGAAAACCAGTTCACATTTCTCTCTTTTGCAAACAGAAACATACAATCTGATGTGATCTTCTGCAGCTGCCAGTGTGTCACCATCCAGTTATAATGGAGCTGCAGTTCCTGTCATCCCCTGATAGTGTGACCAGGGGCACCTGGTTTGACTTAGTCAATTAAATGGAGAGTTGTTCAATCAGAGCCAGTCCATGCCTTACATAAAAGCACTTGGTGAAGGAGAAAATGACTTTTCAAAGGAGGGAATTCAGCTGTGCCAAGAATGCAACCCCAAATAATCTCTTTCTCGTAGCCAAATTGGAGTGAAAGCCTTCTGTGTTGCTCTGGTTTTGGCATTCCTACATTTTGGTGTATTGTTCTGAGCAGAAACCTCTATAAGAGAACTTCCCCATCTGAATAATGCTGTAGTAATTCTCTTCACATTTCACTTTGCAGAAAATACGAGGTTGCTAGCTCTTGTCTTTCTCCTCCCCCACCCAGTGTCCTTTTCTCCTCCATCAGAGCAGTTACCACCAAATAGCTTTCATATTTTTATCTTTGGTGATTTCAGTTCTTCAGCTGTGATTTCATCCAGGCTTTCCCAAACAGCTGATCACCAAGCCAGTTTTGTTTTCTGAACTTGAGATCAGATCCCAAAGAAGCACGTCCAGAGCTGCTATTTGCTGCAGGAATGCATCTGGTCACTCAGCTCTGGACTGAAGAATATGCCCTTGTGTTCTAGGCAAGGACGTAGGGGAGACCGTGTTGTATTACGGCTGCCGGCATGAGAAGGAGGACTATATCTATAAGGAAGAACTTGCCAAATTTGTCAAAGAAGGAGCTCTTACTCAACTGAATGTGGCTTTCTCGAGAGACCAACCAGAAAAGGTAAGCCTGCTCCATCCAAATGTTCCACCATCAGTGGGCATTTGCATTCAGCTGTCTTGCTGGGTCTGGGACTGGGGATGGGTTGAGGATGTTGGTATGCTTTGTACTTGGATAATCATCTTCCAGTGGGGGAGGGGGGAGAGAACAAAATATGCCTGTGTTTTCCATAATTCTAGACAACGTTGGTAAGAATATTTTTCATTTTCTATCTCCTCCCCTGCTATCAGTCTGGTTCACCTGATTTCTGAACCAGGCATTTTTTATTTTTTTCAAAATCACTTTTGTAGTCTGCGTATCTACCATTTTTAAAAAGTAGATGCCAGTTTTTACGCTGAAGGAGGAAAGATCATAAGAAGTACACAGCTCTTAAGGCTCCACTGACACCCAATTTTGTCCCTTTAGATTTATGTGCAGCACCTGCTAAAGAAGAACAAGGAGCATGTCTGGAAGTTGATCCATGAAGAAAATGGTCACATCTACGTGTGCGGGTGAGGGTGGCAGGGCTCTTCTTGCTCACAGGTTTTTTTGCAGTAGTGAGCAGTCAGAAATTGACTTGGAAACAAGTAATTAGTAGTTCTGCCCCTGGGGCAGAACAGTTAGAAAGAAAACAGTATTGCAGCGCTGGCTGGGAATTCTGGTATTAATAATGCAAGCTGTCTGAGGTAGTTTCCAAAGTATATGAATTATCAGTATGAATTTGCAGAATTTTCTGAAGCATTTGCAGAAAGCACAATATTCAAAACAATTCAAGTGAGCGAAGTGGATGACTTCCCTATGGTGCCCACCCGTCTTCCTCACAAACTTATGCCTTTAACTTCAAGTGGATCCTTGATTTTGTTTCAAGAAATAGCCAGCTATGTATCTAATAAGCTTTCTTATGCCATTTCAACCCACCAGCTGACCTAGTGTCTATCCATATATCGAACTACAGCTCCTATCAAGCTGGCTTAGTTGAAGGAATTATATTCCCATGCCCCAGTCAGAGGGAGAGTGGCGCAATTCTTTGGGGATTCAGGCAGAAGTATTTCCTAGCTCTGCCTGGAAATAAGTGGGACTGAAATGGGACCTTCTGCATGCAATTGGGTGTTTAGCAGGCTTTTGTCAGCTTTATCTGTGAAATACTATTATCCTTACCTTCCACCTGCCCATCTTTAGATCCTGTTTTCCTCCACAATGTTGAAAGGCAGAATTTCTGTCTGCACCAGATTCCTCCGAAATTGGCAAGATGCCATTTCTCCAAGCCTCCTTGTTGAGTTTGACCTGCCTTGAGATCTAGCCACTGCTCTTCGCTGACTCGCCCCTTACCCTCTTATTTTTTCCTCCTTCCAGTGATGCACGCAACATGGCCCGGGATGTGCAGAATACCTTTTATGAGATTGTAGCTGAACATGGGAAGATGAACCAGCAGCAGGCTGTGGACTATGTCAAGAAACTGATGACCAAGGGCCGCTACTCCTTGGATGTTTGGAGTTAGGGGGCACTTACTGCAGAAAGGAGGGTCTCTCAGGTGGCTGGTAGAAGAGCTGGGCAAGGACTCATCTGGCTGCCTCCGGGGAACTGTGGATCTGTGCATACCTTGGCTTTCTCTAGCTCCTACCCGTTCCCTGTTAGACTGTTCTGCAGGGTGAGTTTAGTGGGCTTTGGTTTTTCATGGCAAGGTCTAGTTGCATTGAGCTAGACCCTCAGAGCAGTGGAGAAATGCCAGCATGTCTGTCTCTCTCGCTCTTTCTTTCTTTTGGCTGGTAGCTGCTGCAGGACATAACTCAGGGTGGGTTTCCTGCCCCTTCTTTACACAACAAACTTTTCAAAAGAGGAATGCCCTTCCTGTCTCATCTCACAGGCATCTGTACCCTAGTGGAAATGGTGTTTAGATGACCTTGGTCCTTCAACACTTTCTCATTTAGCCTGATCAACAGGTTGGGGTCTTTCCTGGGCTGCACTGAAGAATGCAGTGGCAACGGTTTGCATTTTTCTCAGCAACTGGTGACCTGCGCTATTGGGATTCACGTGGGGTGGGTGCCAGGGCAATGTCTGATATAGAATTATCTGGGAACATAGGCAGAGGGAATCATTTGGAGGGGAAGGGATAGTAGCAGTGGTTTATAAGAACCAGTAAAATGAAACTCTCACCCTCCTCTGTGTTAGAAGGCACTTGTGAAGGGTGATGGTGGATCTAGGTGCTATGCCTCAGCATGGACCAGAGAAGAACCTGTTTGTGATATCTCACTTCCTTTGTTCTTTCCCTTTTGTGGGAAACTCATTCCACATGAATTTGATCTCTCTCCAAACCACCCCTTCTGTTTCTCCCTTGCTTTGTTCCTAACTGGATGAGATCCTGGACTGAGGCTGATCCTAGCTCTGACAACTTCAGTCCTGTGCTGCTCTTCTGGACACTAATTTGCCTCCCATCACTTGACTCTCCCTGTTGAAGCTGCTGTCTGGCGCCTAATGACATGTGTGCATTTGGAAACTGGTCAAGCAGTCTGTCCGCTGATTGTACATAATTTTAAGGAGACTTGTTCTTGAAATAAAATAACCCCGATTCTTTCGTTCTGCCTCTTCTGACTCTGTGTGGACTTTTACGGGAAAGGGAGATTGGAGTTTTTGTAGCTGAAGCCATGCTGTTAAATCAGAAGGTGAGGAAGCTTTGCTTCATAAGAGCCAACTTTATTTATTTATCCTTTGGTTATAATTTAACTTTCTAGGGCTGTGGGTGAGCCAGTGTGTACCTCTTTTCTCTCTAGCATACAGTATTTATTTTTGCAATTTACTTAATGCCTAGAGTCTACTAGGATGGAAGTGGTAGACAAATTGTGTAAAATGAAAGGAAGTATGGACGGACGGACGAATGAATCATCTGAAAAGTTCTATTACTGTAGTACAGTTTGGGACATTTTTTCTAGGGTGTATTTCCACCAGAATGCCAGCATCTGCTGGTTACAAGGTAGTGCTTCTGTCCTCGGTCACAATACATCTTGTATGGATCACCTCCCAGTGGAGGATCAGCATCCACTGGGAGATTATATTTTGCTATTCTGGTGAACATCTGCAGGTAGATTGTCTTCTAAAGCTCATCACTGCAGATTCTACAAATGCTGCTTCGTAGTCCTGTTCTCAGGGCTGAACATGTTCAGTCTAAAATCCTGCACCTTGTCATGTTTTTTAAACATGCAAATATATTTTCTCTTCAGTACTATGTTTTACCTTTCTTGCTATTTTATTTATTTTACAGTATAAACCTCCCAGTCCCAGAGGACTCAACATTAAAGAAACCATCATCACCAACAACATAGCCATAAATAACTAAATCCAAATGAGTATCAAGAACAAACAATAACCACAAAGAAAAGCAAAGATAAAAACTCCAAATAAAACCCAGGATAGGCACTCACAATTGGGACCAAAAGTACATTGAAATCAAATAGCTTAACTTGTGCATCGAATGGCAGCAAGGTGGGGCCTGTGTGTGGGGAGAATATTCCACCAGGTGGGGGCTCTTAAACTTCCAGCAGTTCTGTCCTGGGCTGGCAACTTAGGGCTTTAGAGGTAACTACTTTGAACTGGGCCTGGAACTGACAACCAATGCAGTTTCTGCATTGTAGGTGTAATTTTGTATTGGCTGGGCTGTCTTATCCATCCCTTTCTGCTGCTTTTTACACTAGCTGCAGCTTCCAGGTTGTCTCCAGTGGCAGCCCCATGGATGGATCAAGGGATGAGCTGTTGAGGTTTGTGATGATTTCAAGGGCTGAAGGAGGATTCAGTGAGATCTTCCAATCACTTGTGGTTTTTTCCCCAATTTTATGTGCCATTACCTGCAAATGTGATGGCGATCAGTGACTAAAGAATGTGGAAAGGGAATTCTGTATTTATCCTCCATGTAGTAGTTTTAAAAATAATATCAGAACTAATTCCTCCATTGCATACAGTAAGCTTCCCCCTCTTCATTCTGTAACATTCATTGCAGTGCAGCTTCACCTAACTAGCTGGTCTCTGCATGGTTTGGCTAAAGTGCTAATCATCCTCAGCCTACATGCCCAATGATCTAGTTCCGTGATGGCTGCTGTAACCCAGCACATCTGGAAGTCAGTCTATGGGAAAGACTGCCATAGCAGTCTTCTCTGTATCTTCTCTGTCATGGCACTTGCCTTATGGAGCAGCCTCCCCCTGCCATCCTCAGAGATACAGATGGCCTCAACTCTGGCCTTGGGCATTGGGGCTGGGGGGTTGATGGAACCAGCATGGTATAGTTAACTGAGGGATGCGTGTCTAATCAGGGCCTCAGTATTGTTTTAAATGTTTTAATTATATTGTGGTTTTGATTCTTGTCTGCTGCCCAGAGTTCTTTCCGGTAGATGAGCAGCCATATAGAGAGTAAGACTACTACAAGGACAATCTGTACGCTTAAACTTGGTTTGTCTTGTACCACATTTCTCTATATCTACACATTGCACAGAAGAGAGGGATCAAACAGCAAAACTGCAATATGGAATTTGCAATTTCTGTTTTTCAAGGGAGAGGGAAAAACCATGACATTGCTTAAAAATATCCATACAAAACTGCTGAAAGGAATTCTGGTGCTTTGGACAATGTTGCCGTTGATAGGTTGATGCTGTTCAGCTCTTCTACTTCTCAAGAATCTCAGGAAAGCTGTTAAGTGTATGCACAATTGTAAGAGAGATGAGGAAGGCTGGACTGAGACAATGAGGGGATGGTGGATAGGATGCAAGAGGACATTCATGGGGATATTCAGGAACACATGAGAATATCACAGAGGAGTTCCTAGATTCATTGCTCTCTTGGAGTGATACTGGTTATAGCTATGGCCAAGTCTGACTCTTACAACTCTTGCTTATGTGCCACTGTAGCCCTAAACAAGAATAGATTAACCTAACTATTTCTGCTGTGTTAATTCCACACTAGACTGCTACAACTGGCTATGTGGATCTGTCTCGTAAGAAAATACAGAAATAGTAATTGGTGTTAACTCACAGTTATGTTAAGTTCAACCTTTCATGTTCTTCTGAATGACCACACTTGAGTAAGGTTCAGGTGCCTTCTTGATAATGACCTGCCACCATTTAGGACAGATCGGGAGAATGGATGAAGAGACCAAAAGTTCAGGCAACTCCAATGCAGGAGCCCTTTCATTCAAGCACCAAATCACTTATTGAGTAAAAGATATGCTTTGCATTCAGAATAATAAAAGTTTTGGATTCACACTTTCTTCAAATGTGTTTTCAATCTAATTGGTTCCAGTGAGTTTATCAAGTTCCCTTGAAAAGGGTATGAACCCTTTGGATCCCATTTGCTGAGGTTCACAACTTGTGGCATCTGGCTGGTCATTCTAGGAGCAGAACGCTAAACTAAGTTTTTAGTGGGATTCAGCAGCGGTCCTAAAACGGGGTTGTAGCCTGAGATGCATGATGGTGTACAGTCCCCTCCTAACAGAACCCAGCATTGTACAAAGTGAATCTATGTACTATAGTTAAGACTCAACAGTTACATCCTTGAGATTCCAGAGTTTTAAATTCCTAATACAGTACTATTTCCCTTGCCTAAAAAGGCCAGGGATCCAGGCTTCTCCATTTTCTTTATTTTCCAACCTTTTTTCCTTAATATGACAAGAATACATTTTTAAAGACAACGATGCATGTTTGGATGTAGGCCAGCTTTTTCCAGCTTTAGAACCATTACACATTTAAGACACACAAATGACAATATGGACTGAGATCGGAGGAGGCCAAATGCTGCTGCTGCTGCTGCTGGTCCAACTATTGTTAAATAAAGGTTTTTATCCTTCAGCTTTTCTGGCAAGATGCAGTCCTTAGGTGCTCGTGAATCCATGTTCCAAAAAAGAGCAGAGGAGCAGGAGCATTGGGTCTTTGGCCGCTCTAGAGCTGAGAAGGCAACTCCAGGAGGAGAATTGCAATGAGGGGGTGGAAAGTAATCTGCCAGCCCCTGGTTATCATGTCAGACTTGTCAGAAAATATACACTGAGGAAGGAAAGCAGGCTCTGTATTGAAAGCATAGCTGGGGAACTGTCCCCTCCACCCACTCATAAGGAGGAAGAAATCTAGAATAGGGTAACATTTCTGGAGATGGGGAGGAAAGAACCAACCCAGGAGGAATGATGCCTCAGGATGATGCTGACAACATTCATTGCCCGTATAATCTGCCTCCAGTAATACAGTTAATATCCTCCGTACTAAACATGAGACGGCCAGGTTTAACCTGCTCCCTTCCTTTTCCTGTGACTCAGTTTGGGTAGACAGGCTCTGGGAATTAGCAGGCCCCTGCTTTGGGGGAAAGGTACAAACGTCATGCAGGTGTCAGCTGGGAGTTGTATCCAAGAGTCACTTGAATTCCTCATATAGTACTTTACCCTAATCCTTGAATCTCACACCTGATGAAGTCCAAGAGTTCCTTTTGGCAGCAGGAAGGTCTCAGGCTGGCGGCAGAAGCACTATTCACACCTGGCTTCATTTACATCTGTTTGCAAGAGAATCACAGGGAGGGCAGGAAGAGGAGAGAAATGCCCAGTGTGCTGTAGACGTAGATCGTTCGGTCAGCAGAATGCTAGTGCTCCCTCCAACAGTGAGATGGCAGGATAGCCGGGAAGGGGGACAGGCACTTGAAGCTCATTCCGTCTTGGCCTTATCCTGGAATTTCTGGTGAACAACTCGCAATGTCGTGAAGAAGTTGCCAATAAAGAGGGTGAGGAAGGGGAGGGCGCACATCAGGACCTGCCAGTGAAATTGACACGGTCAGAGTTTACTGCTTTCAGAGGAAGAGAGAGTCACCCAGCAGTTCTCAAAAGGACTGGGTTGCTGAGGAGAGAGGTGAATTTAACAAAGCTGACAGGTATTCTAGAGTAGAACAGGAGGGCAGTGCAAAGCACCAGAAAGAGGTGTTTCACCATGGATGTTAGTTCAAAGTGTTAAAGCAGCTATGTCTTTTGTGAGGTTTATATAGCTACTTAAAAGGCTGTCCCTAGCTGTCTGTAGGTGTAGATGTGCAGCCACTTCGATGGTATTTTTAGAGAAAGTGTTGTCTGCACCCACACAGGTGACGGGGAACAGCCTTGGAAACAGCTATATAAGCCTTACAAAGGAGGCAGCTGCTTTAATGCTTCAAAGAATTTTGCCCACACAAACATTGTTTTGAAGTACTTCTTTCAAATGCATTGCACAAGCCCAAATACTGGCTTTTTACAAGTTTCCACTTTCAAATTCCCTCACTTGTTAAGTGAGGGCCACAAATGAAAGCCATTGGACTAAACCATATTTTGGAAAGAACTGTGAATCCTAATGCAAGTAGTTCTTGTTCTGTGGTTTAGATTTTCAGAATGCCTAATTCTTGGCTATGGCAGCTGAGTCTGATGGGGATTTAGCTACAACTGGAGGATCACACGTTCCCCACCCCAACAAATAATATCATCTGAAGGCAGTACAGGTAGTCTTCAAGTTACAACGGTAACTGGGACCAGAATTTCGATCACTAAGCAATGTGGTTGTAAAGGGCAACATCACGTGACTGCATCGCTTAGTGATGGCAACCCCACCACTTCCCGTTGCCATCGTTAACCTAATTCCACCAGTCATTAGCCAAGGACCCACTTGGTCCCTCTCAGCCCCAGTTCTTCCAAGGTAAGGTCTCCCCTTCCACTCCCCGCTAACTGCTTATTTCCCCCATCTCTGCCCTTTTGGCCGGCCTGCACCCTGCTTTGCACCACATGGCTCTAGAGCTGCTTGCCATGCTGTGGCTCAGGGGTTTCTTGGTGCACCATGGCTCTGGGGCTGCAAGAAGCTGCTGAGCTGCAATGCAGCATGAAGCCTCAGCTGCTCCAGCCCGGCCGTGCGGAGAGGTGTGAAGCCATAGCTGCCCTGGGAAATCTCAGCTGCCCCAGCCCAGTCCCAGCTGCCCTCACCACCCTGTACTCTAAGGCCCCTGCCGCCCTGACCTTTGCCATCTTCTTGCTCCCACTGCTGACCAAGCATGCCTGGCCTGGCCCTTCACGAGCCAGCTGCTGGCCACAGGAGGCTTTCTTCCCAAGGTTGCACATGGTGGATTCCTCATGAGACCTGGGGAAGATGGCCTCACGTGGCCAGCAGCTGCCTCGTGAAGGGCCAGGCCAGGCATGCTTGGTCAGCAGCGGGAGCAAGAAGATGGCAAAGGTCAGCTGGGGTGTCGGGGCCATTGAGTGCAGGGGGCCAAAAGGGCATAAATGGTGGGGGGAGATAGGCAGATGGGGGGAGTTGAAGGGCTCCTGCAGTTGTAGGTACAGATGGGATGCCAAGTGCCCAAATTTTGTTCACGTGGCCACAGGGGCACTGTAAAGGCCGTAAACCAAACGAGGGACCAGTTGTAAGTCCCTTCATTCAGCGCCGCTGTAACTTTGAACAGTTGCTGAACGACGGGTTGTTAAGCAAGGACTACCTGTACCCCAATGACATTTGCTTACACTTTGTTTCTGTACCTCCCTTTACTTATTCCCCTCCCCAGGAGGCAGAACAATGGATTTACAAGGCTCCTCCTTTTTAGCAGACAGACTGCATGGACATCACTAGATCCTCTTTTGAGGGAACCTTGCTTGCATTTTTTCTATGTTACGTGGCATTTCCAGTTCTTGAAATCCACTATGCGCTTTTTATTTGCTTTGTTAGTCTTCTAAAAGTTCTTCTTCCTGCCTTGCCCTGCCCTGCCCTTCAGTGTTGATTTTAGATTAAGAGTAGTTTATTATTATTTATTTTATTTTATTTTATTTATTTATTTATTATATTATTTAGATTAAGAGTAGTTTATGCACATTTGCAGAGCAAACGCTCCATTCATACACAGGAGCCCACCTGACACCTGGCAAAGGCAATGGCTACAACACAAGAAAGAGCTTTACAATCAAGCAGTTGGAATACGCAGTTTTACTCTGCCTGGCATTGGCAGAGGGAGGGATTCCCCAGCCATGCTACCTTTTCACCGATGACATTTTAATTTATTTATGTGGTTTATCACCACTCTGATCTGGAAAGATTCCACGATTTGAAGAAAAGCACACAGTCTGTCATCGAGCCATGATGTTTATCATTTACAGCAGGAGTTCCCAAGCTTTGCAATACTCTGAATCTTAAAATAACATGAATTTGTGCAACCCTTCTCCCCATTGTATAAAACTAATGATTTCACTGGAGAAAATACAGAAATATTGCTTACTTTTAATAATTTAAAATACATTGATTAGAATGTATGTATAGAATATTAAAACCGGAAAACTTTATAATAGAGAATGGATTCATTGGAATAAATACCCACCCTTTTTAAAAACAAAAACACATTTTTAGTAGGTAGGATGAACTTGATTACTTAGTATAATTCCTGAAATCTGGGTTTCATTTTGAGGACCCCACTCTCATTTGCCAAAGTCAAGAACACACAAAAAGGTGTTTCTTTGCCTTAAATCAACTTCTCTTAAAATGCTGTAACGTGCAAAATACTGGCAAGCTGTAAGCTGCTTTGGTGCTCTCTCTTGGCCAGTCCTGCTGAGATAACAGTCAGCCTCTCTTTCCTTCCACTCAGTTGTGGATACTGGGCTTTGGAATCATCTTCTTGCTTGGCATTCAGCATGTTTTTTGTGCCAAACTGGTAAGCCTGGATGGAAGGCACTTTCTGGGAACCTTCCATCCCCTGCTTGTAATCCCTTTAAGGGTTGTAACCCACATTGTGAAAAAATGCTGATATAACAGGCAAAGGAGTTTGGGAGGATCACTGAGAGAGTTACCAGTGACTGTCACAATGGCTGCGTTTAGAAAGTATCTGGTAATTTCTGTAAGCAATGCCAAAGTCTGCAATCTCAGTTGGGCCATAATTTTGAAAGAGTGGCAAAGGAACAGAGTGTTTCCTCTCTCCCGTGCCCACCAATTCACTCTTACCTGCCATTCTTTGCATTCTGGATGCCTGGCCAGCTGGAAGAGTGTGATGGCATTGAACAGTTGCCAGAACTAGAGAGAGAAGATCACCGTTTTATTTGCAACATCTCAGACCCCACCCTCAAATGTACAAACTGCACATCATTGTGAGATCACGCCACTGGTTTTGGCAGTAGAAGGTTTAGGACTTTTGTCAATAAAAAAGTCAAAACGCTCTCTTTCAAAGCAACTGAGAACTCTGGGCTAAGATGAGCATCTCTGCCCCCCCCCACCCCCCCCTCATGCCACCCACTGGGATTTCAACATAGAAATACAGGCTTCTTGCCATTTAATCATCTCCTCCCCCACAATAAAGAGACAAGAGCTTATTTAGGCACAAAATACATCTCAAATCCAGATTATTCATATGAGTTAATCAGTAGCTGCATCCTATCTAGAAGAAAGAAGACACATGGAACAACAGTCAATACATCAAATTATTATGCATAAATAAGGAAGAGCATTCCAGGATTCTAAGTCTAAATCACTCTTGGCCTCAATTGTTTTTGGACCCTCAGAGCCCTCTACCAAGCACAGTGAGGAAATTAGGCAGTTTCCCCCCTAAAAACTGGCACAGTTTTTCTGCCATTTCAGATGGGAAATTAATATAATCATTCTTTAAGGAGTGTAGTAGGACAAAACACGAAAGCAGAACAAACCAGAAAAATCAGATATATTTTCCCAAGCCCCCAAATTTGCCAGAATCCCCTACACCTGCCAGTTTCTATGGTGATGCCCACGGTGGTTATAAGAATATTACAGTCTCTTGTGACAAAATAAATTCTCATTCTGTAAATAGATTTGGAGGGGAGGGGGTTTGTTTCTTTAAGCATCTCCCATCAGTCTTCATATCATATTATTATGAAACGAAAGTTTAATTTTCTCTCATTCAGTTGTTTATAAACAGAATATATATCTCCCCTAAAAAAGAGCTAGTAAGAGAAAAGACAAAATATGTATAAGAACTCTACATTAACCTTTATTTATCCCCACAAGAAACTCAGAAGAAACTATGCCTCTTCAGATCAAATAAACCTGGTTTTGCCTTGCCTACACTAAAGATACTCCCTGAAGAAGTCGTGACACACTTACTTGGCCGAAGAAGAGGAAAGGAAGCAGGAAAGTGAGGCCTCTCCACATCCATGACTGGAAACCCTCTGCAAGGAAAAACGCAGAGCCAAAGAATCAGTCCAGGGACCAGCAGTCCCAACTGCCTCTTCAGAATGACTGGAGATGGCAATATTTGGGTGACCTGATGCTACCACAGACCTTTCATCTCTGTTAAACTAGCATTGCCAGAATAGGAAATACAGAAGCTTAGAGACACACAAAACATTGTAAAAGTCCGCCTTCCCAAGAATAAAAGGCTCTCATCTCTTTGAGGAAGGAAGCAGGCAGGGTAAGATGGTTTGAAAAGCAGACCTACCCTCTGGTCAGATTCAGATATTTTTTGCAAATATATGTACTATGGTTATTAGTTAGTCTCTGTTTTTTAAGAACTATACCTAGATGAGGACCCTAAAAATGTTAATATCTCTAACCAGAAACATCATATGAAGCATGATCAAAAAAAGTCCCTTCATATCAAGCTCTCCTGGTGACTTCAGGGACACTTCTATGTAATCTTCTTGGCCATGATATGAAATAGCATGCCGCTGCCTTATTCTGGAATGTTTTTTCTACTTCCTAATGTAGGCTATAGCCCTGGGAGTCCCTTGAGATCTCCCACCCAAATATGAACCAGGTCTGATCTTGCTTAGCCACCTAAAGAGATGAAGCAAGCCTAAGATTTAATTCTAGTATTCAAGGCCGGGCAAAAATTACAATTTGGAGGAATTAAGGACCACATGAACATCCTTGCAGGATCAGAACAGCTGGTCCAACATTCTCTTTCCCACAATAGTCAAACAGAAGCTTTTGGAAGTCCACAAGACATTGGCCTGTTGTGGCTTCCCAGCCCTTGAGTCTCACAATGATCCCACCTTCATAGCCACTAAGAGTCCCCTCCTCCTCCGTTCAAAACCAATGACCAGTAGAGCATCTCCCATAGGGGTGATCTCACAGCCATTAGTGAAGGAAGGTCCTCATCCCTCATCCAGGAGAGCTTGCCTCAGCAAGGAAGAAAGAGAGAGCAGAAATGCGACCTACCCACAGTGAGATCCATGGTGTGTCGTTCACCCAAAGCTCTCAACCGGTACAGGCAACCACTCTGATAATAATATTGTAGAAACTGGACAAAGCCTGTCAAAGTTCAGCAAGAGAAATCAAAACTCAGGGGAAAAGTATACACTGAGATACTTAAATTATCCATCCCTCATTGTTACTACAGTGTCCCTTAAAAGCAAAGATCTAGTTTTAAACTCCTACATCCACTGCCTTTGGTGGCAGTGTGGTTTTTATTTTCTTAAGAAACAAAAAAATCTAGTTCTCACAGTAATGGGGAAAAAAGCTTGAATACATCTGAGCCACTTCAGCTAGTCTGGGAGATGAAGCCTATAGTAATTTGCCCTTTACCTCACCACCAGATCCTGCGGCACGACCCTTTCATCTCAATTTCACTCCATGAGGAAATCCTGACATTTACATATTATTGGTTGACTACCTCTTACTCTCATTCAAATACTCAGACAGTAAAAACAGAAGCCTGGCCACAAAATGGCATACTATGTTCTATGCTGTGGAGTCTTGGCAATGTAGCTATGAAAATAAAGGCTGGAATTCATAGTTCTACTGACTCCCTGATACTCGCAGGTCTTCAACCACTTCCCTCCACCCTCTTCTTTAATGTAGTCCTACTTACTCTGATACATAGAGAACGTGAGGAACTGGTTTCTGAACTTCTGGTACATAAGGCCATCTGGCCTGCAAAGATAGAGGGATTATAGAAACATACGTGTAATCGGAATCCACTGACATGTGATGGACAACTGCCACTCTCTTAGAAGACTCCAGAAAGGAATTAAGCAAACTCTCAGGCTATTAACTGACTGAAACCACGGGCATTATGCTCAGTTTTTTCTTGAAGTCACCAAGACAAATGAAGAGAAAAGCTGAGATAAAGACTCACCAAGTCAGCATGACACCTGAGAGGAAGGTGGAAATGTAGTGATGAAACACCCACCAGCCTTTAATCCTGGAAGAGCAAATACAACTATTTTTATTTGGGTTTTTCTTTTAAGCATGATAGCCCAGTATACTCTGGCAATGCTTGGGAGCTCCTCTTTTGGAAGGTAGAGGGCCACCAAGGCAGTGGCAGCTGGGATACATTGCACTGAGTACCAAACACGGTGCCAATGGCTATAACCTTGGGGAAAACACATGGGTTGCCTCTTGAGGAGATGTATCCCCCATTCCACTCTCTTCCCTCAAGTAGCATGATTAAAGGAAAAACAATTATTTTCTTTGCCAATCTGAGATTAAGGAAACTTGGGAAGGCAAAAGAAAGGAGAATGCAGAAGGTATTGCATGGGAATTGCTTACCATTGGGCATTTCTTGTTTTGAGCATGGGCTGAGGTACAGCAGCCTAACAGACAAGATCCTAAGGCAACCAACTTTCTGTTTTGTAGAAATGTAGTCAATAAAATCTAAGGTTTGATCCCAAGAGCTAGGAAAAGGCCCTTCCCTGAGACAGCCTCAGGGAATGTTGAGGCGTATCAAGACAGATTTTACAGTTGGGGAAGTGCTCAATGGAAGAAAAATATTTTGTATGCAGAAATGTCTCAGATTAGTCCATGACATCTCCAGTTTAAAGGATTTCAGATAGGAAAGAAAAGATCTTGGCCCAATCCTCTAAGAGCTACAGACAGCCCCTGGATGAGGTTAGCCAACAATTAAGATAAGGCAGCCTCATAAGATATAGGAGAGGCCAGAACCAGGGTCCATGGCTTAGCTTAGTTGGCAACAATCTCCCAAATTTGAGGGTGACAGGTCTAGTTCACGATTGCAAGGAACATCCAGGAATAGTTTTCTCCACATAAAATGCTGAAGAACCCCTGCAATCAGAACAGGAAGAGCTATGCTAGATGGACCTGCCCCGATTTCACATGCAAGCCTGGGTTTCTAAGGAGGTGTTCCCATGTTCAGTTCCCAAATTTTTACAAGCAGGATTAGGAAAGATTTTGTACAGAACGTCCAGGGAGTGCTGGATTAATATGCATGTGACCTCCTTAGCTTAAGGAAGGAATAACTCTGAACAGAAGCACTACTTACTTAGAACCGTTGTTGATCAAGATGCTCTCCCGAATGGTCAGCGTGCAGTAATACCAGACCAGGAGAAAATTGAAGACAGCATCAGTTACCCTGTCATAAAAAGTAAGAAAGCGACGGGTTCAATAGTTGTAATATAATTGTCTGGTGAAGCGAGTGGCTGCTTGCTAGTTTCTGTCTCCAGGACAGAGAAGCAGAGAGCCAAATGTGCCCTCTGAAAAGCACGCTGGAGGAAGGATACCCTCTAGAAATGGGAGGGGGGAGAGAAAGAGGATAAAAACTAAAATAATGGCATTTAATTTAAGTTACATAAAATAATCCAAGTAGTTGGGGATTTTTCCTTGTAATAAAATGTTACAAAGAGGCATCCACCTTTGTAAAGGCTTAGAGGGATGAACTTCCAGGGGCCACGGCCAAGGCTCAGATTTTGCCATGCTCAAAATTAATATGGAAGAGAGTATGGTGGAATGGTTAAGGAGTTGGACTAGGAGCTGGGAGACTGTTTTACTTCCCAGTCTAGTTTACAGCCTGGAGGTCTCTCCTCCAAGCACTAACCAGGTTGGATTCTGCTTAGCTTTCAAGATCAGCCAAAGTCAGCTCAGTGTTTTGAAGTATGGATGAGGGCCAAGGAGGCCTGGGTTCTAATCCACGCTCAGCCACAGAAACTCACTGGGGGACTTTGGGCCAATCAGTTTCTCTAAGTCTAACCTGCCACATAGCGTTGTTAGGAGGCTAGAATGGGTATGCTATATACAAGGCCTGAGCTCCTGAAGTTGCAAAGGGTGGGATATAAATCTTTCAAATAGGTCAACCAACCATTCATAGTGCGTACAGTATTGTCAAGTGCCTTTGGCCATGTGGACAGGGACTATGCATCAGGACAAGGATTAACACTCTGGAGGGTTAACATTTTATGCCCTGGGTTTATTTATTGATGATTTCTTTATTAAACAAACTTACACAGCTGAAACAAACAAGCTACCCGAAGGAACTGTGGGTGGTGAACAAAACTGAAACAAAGCACGCTAAAAACAAAATGACCATTTAAAACAGTAAACAATGTTGAGGCCCTGATAAAATGCACAACTATCAATCAAGCACCCAGACCAGCTCCACCACCACCAACATTCCCCCTAATGCCTAGTGGGAAAAGTCTTCACTGCTTTCCTGAAGTGTTTCCTAAACTATTAGTCATTTTAGTTATGGTATTTGGTACTTTCCAAAATCTTTCTCATCTGCATGGGAGAGAGCAATAGAGAGTTGGGTGTGAGCCCAGTGGGGCCGGGAAGGGGTGTGTGTGTCCCCGCTTCTACCTCCCAACACTGTCAACAATTAAAGTTGGCAGCTTAAAAACATTCAGCATTTTTATATTCAGAGACCCAGTAAAATTAATCTCGCTGTACTCAAATGCTGTTTCCTTCAACACCTGACTACCCTTCCGAAAAAAGGAAGCTGTCTCTGTCTTGCCAACTCCCCAAAGTCCTCGGAGGACCGGAGATAGCAACTCCCGGGGCTGAGAGGAAGGGGAGAGGCTGCCCATGTTGCAGGATTGCGCACTCACCTGGAGTTAAGGAGGAAGCGGCAGGTGAAGGAGACAATGAGCAAAATGATGGTGAGGTAGAGCTTGAACTTCTCGTACTCATCCTTATAAGCAAACCTAAGAGGGGAGGCAGAGGAGGGAATGAACCAGGTCTGACACCCGCTTGTAGGGCTGGCTCTGTCCTCCCAAACCTGCTGTCTTCCGAGTACCTTGTGACTGTAACTCCCCAAATCCCCAACCCCGGAGCTGGAGTTCCAACATATTCTGAGGGATGGCAGATGGGGAAGACCTAACTTTTCAAGCTCTTTATCTATGGCAGTCTACGACCATAATAAAGGTGGGTTTGATCTAAAAGCGCTTTGGAGCTTGGGACTCTGATGTCTTAAGGGACACTTTACTCTGCCTAGCAGTGAGCATCAGAGGGCCTTCTCTATGTGTCTTCTGACTTTATTAAGGGAAAGCAGGAACAAGAGTTGTTAGTATGGCATGGAATGAAATACCTTCCCTGGAGGTATTAATTAAATCAATTACATTTTACCTGGGAGAGTACAGTTCTGAAAGTATAGTTTGTTTTTTGTTTTTAAGAAAGAATACACCTGTGCCTCACCAAGCATTGTTTTGTACTTCTGTTTATGATTAATCTGATTCTGTATAGGTAGTGCTTGGGTTATGGCCATTTGTTCAGAGACCATTCAAAGTTATGACGGCACTGAAGAAATGGTACTTACGACGGGTCCTTGCAGTTCTGGCCATCGCAGCATCCCCAGGGTCAAGTAATGTGATTTCCGACATTCCCTGCCAGCTTCCCACAAGCAAAATCAATGGGGAAGCTGGCAGGAAGTTGCGGCCATGTGAGATCCTCACTTAATGATGGCAACTGGCACTGCAACGCAGTCACATGTCACACATCATGACTGCCTTGCTTAACGACGGCAGTTCCAGTCCCAATTGCCATGGTAAGCCAAGGACTACCTGTAAAGTCAAAGATGTGTTCACACAACATAAAGCGCTTGGTTAGTTTTAACCTTGGTTTGTTTAGTTTTGTGGCTTAGCACACCGGGAAACTTCACTTGCCTATTCTTAAATTTAAAAAGGGTTCCTAATCTGTATGACTGCAAAACACATCAGCAGCGAGATAAACTATAATCAATTAGCACCTACTTGGCTTGTTTGCTCAGCAGAGTGACATTCACATTCCCCAACACGAGACTCAGGTACAACCTGGATCACAACAGAAAGAGGGATAAAGTACACCCCCGTTACAATACCCTGAGTCATACTGCACTCACATTCCAGGCATACTTAGCATCTCAAATTGGCCTGCAACGAGTCATAATAAAATACACCGATGAGCTGCCTGGTTCTTTTTGATGGCAGCTGTGAGAATGCTGCATTAACAGGGTACAACCTTATGTGATTTTGCTATAATTAGCACACAGATGCTATAATTAGCATCTGTTGTCAGAGTTACCAGGAGCTGGTGGCACGAAACTAACTACACACACTTTTGGGCATAGAATCACACTGGAATTCTGTCAGATGAAATATCTGCCTGACCCCACTTTCACCAGCTATTGGCTGTAAGTAGCTAAATGGAACCTCCCTTTACAGGAGCAGTATGCCTCACAATACAAGATCCCTGGAATAAACCACCAGGAGAAAACGACTGCTGGTGATGGGAAACAACTGTACTTGGAAGCACCAACTGGGCACTTCATGGCGTCCGTTACTCGGTGCGTGTGACACCATTGCTCCGCAAGCTGCACTGGTTCCAGTGTCCTTCCAGGTGCAATTCAAGGTGCTGGTTGTCACCTTTAAGGCCCTTTGTGGCTTGTGACCAGGTTACTTACAGGACTGTCTCTCCCTGTCTACCAATCTGGCAGGAGGGTCATGCTCCGGGCACCATCAGCTAAGGAGTGCTGGCTTTTCTACTGTGGCACCTGCCCACTGGAACCTAACCCCCTCAGAGATTAGATTAGCCCCATCCCTGCTGGTCTTCCATAAGGTCTTGAAAACTTGATTTTGTGCCCGAGCCTGGAGCCCTGCGTGTGTGACAGAGCCCACCTCCTGACTATGTTGATCGCCATTTGGATGATGCTTGGCTGTTATGTGTGCTTATAAAATATAAACCACGTATTTTGTCTATTTTATTGTAAGATGCCTAGAGTCACGTATGAGAGAGAGGCGGCTATATAAATCAAATAAACATATTGTTAAGAACAGGACTGGTCTTATTCCCCTCCCAGTTTGGGGGAATTCTGAGTTCAGTCGGACCCCTTACCCATTCTTCTTTGGCAAGTAGGCCTCCATTTCAAAAAAAGCGTTCTGTCTCTCTTTGATCATATTCTGGATTTCCTTGAGGGCATCCTCCTTCTGCTCCTGGTCAGGAAGAGAAGACTTGCACCTGTATGAGGCCGGGAAGAAGGAACACATTTTGGAGAAAGCAGCACGTGATTGATAAGCAGCAGGCGTACCCCCTTAAACTTCCAAATCCAGCATCCTAAGCGTTCAGACCCTGCTTCAAAGGCCCAGCCTTGAGATGGCTCCCCCAGAAGTTTCAGACAGTGATTTTTCTCCCAGCTGCACGTGGAGGTGGAGCAGATGAGACTCATGGTTGGAAATACTTTCAGAAGAAGACCCAACAACAAGCCATCTCCTGATCCCATTTTAGGTGAACCACTGGGGTAATTCACAAAGGGAGCCTGTCATATCCAAGCAATAACTGTAAGCCCTTCCCAATGCACATTTCTGAGCTCCAGCACAGTCATCTCAAACTAATGATTGGCAACAGAAGGGTGTTATGAATGTACTGTCAGGATACAACATTTGCTTCTTTCTCTTGAGAGGGAAGAAATACATGCAGATGGAAAGCTATGGGAGCCTACAATGAACACTTCCTTTAAAAGTATCTCATAACATCAAATTGCAAAACAGCATATATAAAAGAGGTTACTAACATTCAAACTGACAACCTGATTATTATTATAAATCACACAAGGTTTATTTACAAGCCAATATGGTTTTAGTAGATAAGCAAATATAATGTATGCAGAAATAAACATTTGGAGAGCAATACAGCTTATTGCAATTATCATTCATTCAATTTTAAGAATAGTTAACACTGTTGCCTCCACAATCAGTCATTTTATTTTTCTTTTCCCTGGTTCCCATGAGCAGATCAGCCCTCCTACCTCAAAGCCAAAGGCTCAACCTTTTATAATCCTACTCCATTTAAAACCTTTCTGCCAGCTGATGTGTGGATTTATTCAGGAGAAACACCCCAAATTTCTGGCTTAATCACAGACTGGTAGCATTGCAAAGCATAATGTAAACCGTACAATATCCAATGGCACAAACTTGTTTAAATCCCCTCCAAACCCAAGACAATTTTAGCTCTGTTTCCCCATAATTCTTAGTAAAAGGGGTGTGTTTAGACATGTCTAAACATTTATTTAATAGCACTTTACCCAAACAAAACTTAAAATCATTTTAGCAGTAAACTTCAGAATGTAGTAAGTGGGTTATATATGGCACAGTTCTTCCCTGAACTCAAGCAAAGGTGTTAAGTGAAAGGTTTCTCAACCAAGCTGCTTTTTCGCAACAGGATATACACTACAGCTTAACCCAGGAGCCAGCAACACAGTACCCCCCAACCCCAAAATTAAATACTTGTTTGAAATTAAAATGGTCCCATTCTCAAGCTTTCAATGTTCTCACATGAACTCTCACAAAATGTCAGTCAAAAATGCTAAAATCTTACATAATGTTGCTAATTTTCAGCACCAACTCTATCCCACCTATCACTTGAATAGGTGGACAGCCCCTGGCTTAATTTCTGTTTCTACCAGTTTCTTCTACTCTTGTGCTGAGACAGAAAGTACCCAGACAGAAGCAAAGTGGGCAAGAATTTTCACTAGCCTGAGTCTCACTCTTAAATGGGACTAACAGAGGAAGGGTAGAATATAAACCAGTAAAGAGTTTTCAAGGCTAGTTGCTTTGTGGTCTTCTTTAAAAGGAGGAGGAAGGAAAAAGACTAGGTGAAGGAGCTGTGGCAGTTGAAGAAAAGAGAGTCAACTCAATCTCATGGTTCATAATTCAAATTTTGGTGTTTAGGTGTAATACAAAAGTGATCTCCTTGCTCAGCAGTTAAGACATATAACCTGCCCAAACACCTCCACCCATGCGTTGAAAACAACATGGAATAATGACTATAAACATACTTCTTAAGAGCCAGAGAGAGTTCTTTCAGTTGCTTCTTCTGTCGTGAGATGGAACTGGAGATGCCATCTTGGAGCTTTGTCAGCTCCTCCAGCTTCTGTTTGTATAGCTTGTGAGTTTCCTAACCAAAAAAAGGAACAGAATAACAGAGTTTAGGACAGAAACTTGACAATTCTCTACAATGAAGGTCAGTACACACCTGATAAAATAAAAAGTTGGAGAGCTTCATCATTAATAACAGGCATGGGCACAAAGGTAGCTAGTACATCCACTTATCTAAGCCGATCCCAGTGTTCATTCAAAAATCACCTCAAGCCATGATTTGTTGAACAAGCCATAACCATGTAGTTCATCATAATGCTAAGTTGTACACCAGTTTTTCTGAACTTGGGTACTTGCCAGATCTCTGCACTTCAACTCCCAAGAGTTCTCAGTTGCAAAATTCTGGTTCACACATCTAGCAGGTGCCCAAACTGGGGAAAGCTGTCATAAACCATGATTTATAAACACAATGAATGAGTTAATGCATAACATTAAACCATAATTTATGTAAGCCACAATACCTGGGGCCACATACTATTTTAAGCCAAAAATTAATCCCATCCTTCCGAAACCCCAGAAATCTTAAGTAGTTCATTGTCTACTGGTACATTACTGGTTGGACTTCAAGGTTCTAGTAATGACATTTTGAGCCTTGAATGGTTTACAATGGTGGTACTTGAAGAACCTCTTCCAGTATATAGCTACCTGATCCTGAAGACCTATACTGTAGCAGACCCCTCCTTGGTATCCCACAGCTGGAAGAGATGTGCTATTTCAAGGGTAGAAGAAAGCCTTCACTATTATGGCATTCTGGTCTTGGACTACCCTTTCCTGGATGCCTGCTAGCACTGATGTCATCTGTTTGTTTGAGTCAGGCAAAGTCCTGGCTTTTCACTCTCACATTTGGACCTTAATGACCACCAGGTGACTGTGCCTTTAAAGAGCTTCTCTCTACTGTATGTTTTTTAAAACTCTTACTTTGTTATATTTGGGCTTTGCAGATCATAACCCACCATAAGGTCCTTTAGATGGCAAACAATCTGAAAATATTTTAAAATAAATATGATCCAACCTTCTAAGGCCCTGATGGTAGTGCCATGGGACTTTATTAGAGGTCATCTGGTTGAAATTTTCAGCCCCTTTAATGTGTACTAAGATTAGCTCAAGGAAGATAAGCCTACTAACTAATGGACCATTTTACCATTTATTTTTACAACCAGTAAAAAAAAATTCCTGTCGCAACCAATGGATCAACATTTGATTGATCCGGGGGAAAAAAAAAAAACAGCTGACCCTGCACCTGCAGGAAAAACACTAGGAAGAGAAAAAAAAATTCTGCTGCTAAAAATAGCAATTTCCTGCTGAATTTTCATGATGTGATCTCTGGGACTTCAGATGGGGCTGTGGGCCACTTTATGGCCTAGAATACCCCCATCTAAGGTAGATGAGCCAAGAGTCTGGACCAAGTTCATAAAATGGGCTAAACCATGCTTTGCTTAACCATGGTTTGTTGGGTAAACTAAAATTAGCTTTTGTTACAAAAATGTTAAGCCACAAACCCTGGTTTAGAAACCACAGTAGCTCAGTTCATACAACATATTAAGCTAAGCCCAAAGAAAACAAACCCCATAATGGCTTTACATGGTGCATGAATCCAGCTATGAGCCACCCAAAGTTTGTGGCGAACTATAACAGGAAGCTTCTAATGTTTCTCTGCCTGTGGAAAAAGGGGGAAGGGAAAAGATGCAATCCAGGAACTGACCCTCTTCTGAAAGGGCCCTGTACACTGATGGTGTAATATCACTAAACAAGACTGCACTTTGGCATCAATGCAGGAACATCTGTGCTTGCTTGGCACAGCTGCTGGTAGGGCCCTGTCCACACAACTAGGAGATGTTGCTCAATCTGTTGTACTTTGCAAGGGTGAGGAACAACCTTTCAACCAGGACACATGATGCAAATGCAAGTCAGAATGATGATAAAGTGAACTCCCTCATTAGTCAAGTTTCAGTGCTATCTGAAAAGGCGTGTCACTACTATTACACACAGGATAATTTGTGGTTTGTATATAGAAGACATCTGTATACAAAGGTCAGCAGAAGATATGCCAAAGGCTAGGTGCAGTGATATCAGATGTTCCCTTATTTCCACTGTTGTCCTTCAGAAACTTAGCAAGTATCCATCAAATTGGAATCTGGTACATTAAAACTGCTAGAAATGGACAGGAGGAGTCCCAAGCCAAAATTCCAGAGACTTCCCTCCACTCCCATCCTTGGGAGACAGAATATTCTCTTGATAAGCTGCATTATCAACAGGAAGGAAGAACCACCACCTACGTATTCAAGTATCATTGCAATGTTCCTCCCTGTATCTCCACTATTTCCAGGTGCACAGACCTCTTTCTCTTTAATTAAATTGCTCTTAAATTGAGTCTCCTTCAAGTCAAGCTTGACTTCCATCTATGTAGGTTTCTCGACAAGAATACAGAAGTGGTTTGTCACTGCTTTTCTAGGATATTTTTTCTACTTCCCAGTCTAGTTTACAGCCTTGGTGGTCTCCCATCCAAGCACTAATCAACTCTGCTCCTGCCTAATATTTTTAAGTGCAGCCAAGGTCAGCTAAATGCTGCCACCTGCTGTGACATCTGGACTAGGATCAGGGAGATCCTATTCCAGGACCACCCTCAACCCACCGTAACTCATTGAGTAATTTGGGGCCAGCCATTTTCTCTCAGCCCAACCAACTTCACAGGATCAAAATTCCTGTGTAAACTGCCTTGAGCTCCTGATGAAAGGTGGGATATAAACCTAGCAAATAAATAAATCCACCATGAGCTACGTTTGTACAACCAGGTCTGTTAAATGTCTGCAAGCCTAATCAGTTTCATTCTCAATTAACGTCTTTCTGTCTTAGTGTGTTGCATGAACACACATCTCCTTGGTGAATGCACAATATATTGCATAATTCCAGAAAACTGAGTTAAACCAGTAGCCCTAAGTGTCTTGTACAAACCCATTCACATCATCATAGCTTTTCAAAACACCATCCATAATTTTTTAGCTTCCAGGAGAAAAAATACTAGACAATTTCCAGAAACAGCTGTGTTTTTGTTTTCTGCCCTTCCCCAAAGTTCTGTTTCATTTAATTTCTGGGCTTCAAGGTTTATGAACACTGAACATCTCTAAGGTTACCTACTGCATGGTGACATCTCAAAGCCTTTTTTCTGTCAAACTCCCCACCAACTTCTCTCCAAATCTTTAACCTCAAAATACAGGGCACACAGCATCCCTGGGGTGCTATGCCCCACTCTGTGCCTCCTAGATCAACCTTGGTCTATAACCCCGCTTCCCATGCTCTTAGCCTGGGTATACAGACAAGCAACCCTAAAAGAGGGAAAGGCAGAAGATAGAGCTTGTAGATCTCCAGGAAATTATCAAGATTCTTGACTCCTAATGTTTTAATAATAGCAACAAAATCATGCTAAGTCATAATGTGGTTTGATGGTTTGGGCTGAACATATTTATGAGCCCAGCCACTATTTGCAAATCAGAGTTTACGGCTTTGAATGTTGTGCAAACCCTGCCAACTGTGGTTTATTCAACATATTTCACATTTCAATAAATATTATTTGATATATTTATTATTTAAAACATTTCACTAACACCTGTCATACCGTCAGGTGGTATGAAACATTAACATATCTCTTATACAATTTAACATCCAATAAAATTTATAAATATAAAAATATATTCATATAAATATATAAATAGAGCCAGTTTGGTCTTGTGGTTAAGGCACCTGGGTAGAAACCAGGAGACTGTGAGTTCTAGTCCCGTCTTAGGCATGAAAGCCAGCTGGGTGACTTTGGGCCAGTCCCTCTCTCTCAGCCCAACTCACCTCACAGGGTTGTTGTTGTTGTGGGAAAAATAGGAGGAAGGAAGGAGTATTAGGCATGTTCGCTGTCTTGAGTTATTTAGAAAATAATAAAGTTGGGATAAAAAAAATCTAAAAAAAATGAGTACAAATCATACAAATCAATACAAATCATGAACCATCCTATTATTAAATATAAAATGTTATAGTGAATAAAGTGTTTTTAACATGGATATTATATGAAAAACAGTCAGTGTATGCTTTATCTCAATGCTCTACAGAATTGGTGCCACATCAGAAAGATTAAACAAAGCATGGCTTTGCATAGTGAGCGAACCTGGTGATTCTCCCACCGTATTCTGCTGAAGTTGAGAAATCTTGCGGCAATCAGCAATGGATTTCTGAACAGAGGAATGTAAAACACAATTTAGCTCAGGAAGGTTCTTGGGCCAGAACACTTTAAACCTATGTATTTTGCAAAGAGGTTTTGAAATTGGGCCTTCTGGTTTAGTTATTTTGACCAACAAAAGGGATACAGTACCTCCAATTAGTCAGATAGCAAATTTGGGAAAGAATGTGTAGAATTATTTTAAATTGAAGCACTTGCAAAAACTGTTGTTACCTCTAAGACTGTGCTCGGTATCTTCTGCTTTACCTACTATAACATACAGTACATGTGAAACCCCTAAAAAGTATGGCTTGCCCCACAATTGTTGTATTTCAGACATTCATATACATAATCTATAAACTGAATGAAAATACAACTCATCCCAAAAACTAGTATTGCCTGATGTCCTTAAATTCTTCTACCTTTATCATATCAAACTTCCTTGTGTTTCCATTCTTAAATTTGCTTTACTGCAAGCTGCAAAATAGGTATGGCCTGGCCTCAAATTCTTCTACCTTTATCCAAAATAAACTCCAGACACATAAAATATCTAGAATAGGTACTGCTGTCATCAGGCCAAAGTCCCTTTATTTCTTAAAAAACATCTTTCCCCAAATTCTTTATCTTCCTCCTCAATAACTCCAGTATCAGTAGACCAACAATTCAAACTTCTCAAAAAGCAGCCGGAGAATCAGGGAAATAATGCTTCCCCATATTTCATGCTACATCTTCTTTCAGATGTCCCATAACCAAAACAGCCTAGCTTCATCTACACCTGCCACTTGATTTAAAATCCTTTTCCTAATAGCACCTGTTGCTCATGCACCTTCAGTTCTCCTCCCCATTGATAATATATGAAAAAAGAAGGGAGGGATTGGAAGGTAAACTTGTTGAAAAACATAAGATCCATTTATTCTGGATCAACACAGATACCTGTGAAGCCCAGCATCCTGTTTCCAAGGGATCAGTCAGACACCCCCAGGAAACTGAAAAGCAGGTCAAATTCCTCAAAAGGGGATCTTAACCACCCAGAGCTAGGGTTCCCACACATTTAACCAGTTGTTTTTTCCCCCCAAACTGTTCTGCAGAGCCACAGGGTCCATAAGAACTTGATGGGGTTCCATGAGAGATTAAGGGCAAAAAAAGAAAAAGTTGACCTGAACATAGCTTTCTCTCTTGACGAGGGGTTCCGATAGATAAAACACACTCCACAGCCTGAAAAAGTCTGAAACTAAATCATGGTTTGCTGAATAAGCACAGCTGGCTGGGTCTGCATACACACAATGCCATAAACCAGCAACGCACAATGGCTTAGTATAATGTCCTGTCAACCAGGCCAGCATACAGAATTAAATCCCTATAGACAGTGTAAAAGTGTGCCAAGAAAAGTGGTCAATTCTCCTTCAATAGAGACCTTTCAAAGAGGCTGGACGAGGAACAGGCAGATAAGCTGTAGCTGTAGTTTTTTTTTCTTCTGACATTAGTAGCAGGTAGTTTGGATTATCTTAGATATCCTTTCTGACTTTTGTGATTAGAGCAAAAGTCATCTCTCATAATTGCTACTCAGCAGCTGGTACCAGCAGCACAGGGCCCGTGATCTTGATAATGTGTAGCCCTTAGGACTAGTAACTAATGATAGCCGTGTCTTCTGGGTATCTGCCGCTGGGTGCCCCTTGTGCAGAGGGCAGACTGCCGCTGCCGCTCACGAAAGACTGTCATCTACTCTGCAAATGCCCCCTTCGGATGCAGTAGCAGCGGTGCAGCACACTCAGAAAGGCTTCCGCCTTCATACACGTTGAAAGCACAAGGGGAAGGCACTCTTCATATGCTCAGCAATGCTCTTTACTTCATACACGCACTAGAAGATATAAAAACACTCTCTTCTCTCTCCTGTTTTAATACAGCGGCTGAACTTCTAGCTGCCGGCTAGAGAAACCCCGCTCGGCTCATGCCCCCTTTGGGCCCAGGCAATCTGCACATGCTTAAGGATGCCCTCTTCTTCACCCAAGCGAAAAGGAGAAGACGGTCTGCCCAGGCCAGCCTCAGAGGCATTCTGCTTAAAGGCGCTTTCCCAGCCTAATGTCAGCTCCCGGGCTGGGAATGATGGGAGTCGCAACCCCCATTCCTCCAGATGATACCCGGCTGAGGAACGCCGCTTGCCACCCCGCCGGAGGCGGCCCGGGGCTGCGCCCGGCTTCCCGGCTCCCGCTCGCCGACAGACCCTTCCGCCCCGCTGCGTTGTCCCCGCTCGACAACGCCCCTCTCCGTGACGTGGCATTTCCCCCACCGCCCCCCGGAGGACACCTGCACGCGCTGGAAGCCGTCCTGCAGCTCCTCCCAGTCCCGGAGGCACTCGGTGACCGAGGCCCGGCGGCTCATGGCGACGGTGTGAGAGACGGGCAGACACTCCGACGCGTCCTCCCGCAGAGCGGGGGCGGAGTGGAGGGGGAGGAGGGAGCGACGCTTCGGAAGGACGCCTCAGCCAATCCGCGAGGGCTCTCGGCGACCCGCCCGCCGCCGGGCGGCCAATGGGCGCCGCTTCGAGGCCA